GAAATCGCTTTTTAAATGTATTTAAATTACTCTACTCATGACCTTCCTTAGGAATGCACAAACGCAATTAAATTCCAGTACAGATTGCCCAAGACTGCATGTAATTACATTACATATATTTTTAAGAAGTAAGGAAATTACTTCGAAATTACTTTTAGATTTCTTTGGGCAGTATTACGTGCCCGTAACGATAGAAGTGTTAAACAAAATTTAAAGCTTCTTAAGCCTAAACTAGACAGCTAGGTTATAGGCTCTTCTGTTGATTCAACGGTGAATTGTATCGGCCTGTGGCTGATGTAATTGCGTCCTCCTGATGGTGGAGAAGTCGTCCACTTCAGTTTGTGGGGCCAGGCCAGCTCGTTTTTACATTAAGTCGCAACGACTATTGTGAGATGTCAAAAACTTCCCTTTATGTTGTCTTTGCCGAACGGGATGCATCGTTCCCTAATCTATTTTCACGAGGCTGACGAAATGTCTTAAACGTCTTTATTCTGACGCAGTCGAATCGTTTTTTTCCCAAAAGCACTCGTAGACGCATGCATTCTTTTCGAGGAGTATTGTTCCATAACACCCGAAGAGCTCGAATTATTGCTCGTTGTCAAGCAAGGGGTTCAGATGATTTCTAGGGAAAAACGCCACCAGGGAAAGAAAGGGTTCGCGGGCGCCTCCAGAAATCTGTCCTTCCCCAACAAACCAGCGGTTATATCTGCGCGTTTGCTTTTCCCCGATTCAGATTTCAAGATGAGGCTGCTTTGCTCGCTTTTTTCCCGATTCCACACTCTATTCCGTTCATCCCTAAGCTGATGGTAGGTGCACGTTGTACCGGTCGACCGCCTGCTTTTTATCAACGGACTTCGCTCTCATGCACGTGGGTTTTGGCTGGGGCGGGATCACATGGTGAAAGATTGACGCACAACTGCTTCCACGAGCTCACAGCTTCCTCCGCACTATCAGTGTAAGGGTGAACGGGGCCTACAAAAAGTATCTTTACCTACAAAGGACAAGATATCTCACGAGAAATTCTGGATCCTTCGAAAGAAATTTAAGTTCGACTCCTCAGTCTTCGTCGATTGTTTTCAACTCTGATTATTTTCGTATTGACGTGCCCTCCACATTGTAGCTTGGAACGGTTCCCGATTGCTTTTTGCCTTGAACCCTTCTTACTTGAGTTTCGTGAACTGCGGCCTTCCAGCTATATGTTTTCTATCGAAAGCTTTTCTTCGTGCACTTCGTCTTTCCACCCAGTCTTTTATTTATTTATTTGCACATTACTTGTGTCGCCACATTGGCATTATTGCAGGCGGGGAGGGGGTGCATCATATAAAATTAACCCTTGCACCGTCACTCAAACATTCCGAATGAAAATTCAAATACAGGGTGTCACAAAAGAAAAGTTACAGGGTTTTTTTTACCGCAAAATTAAACTAGGCATCGCCGAACTCTCATTCTTTGCCCGAAGGTAGCTCGGGAGGTCACAACCAGATGCCAAAGTTTCAGCCCGATCCGATAACTTAATCAAAAGTTATAAGTGATTTTCTAAAAAATTCAATGGGAAAATGGAGCTCATTTTTGCCCGTTGTCGGTTTCTGGTTCCATAGAGCCCCATGTATTCGAAAACTCCATCGGCCGCCATTTTCCCATTGAAATTTTCAGAAAATCACATAACTTTTGATTAAGTTATCGGATCTGGCTGAAACTTTGGCATCTGGTTGTGACCTCTAGCGCTACCTTTGGACGGAGAATGAGCGTTCGGCGATGCTAGTTTATTTTTGCGGAAATAAAAACCCTGTACATTTTATTTTGTGACAGTCTGCACATGACAATGTAAAGTACGATTATACTACACAAATATCACAACACGAAGCTGCGGTACACAAAAATCGCTGACCACTAATATCTAGGGGTGTTTAATAATAAAAATGAAGACATGGAATCGGAAGTTTCAGTGACCCCACGTTCTTGTAGACAATTCCAGTCACCAATTAATTCTTTAAAACATGAATTCTTCCTGATTTACCTTCTGCACCTAGTGCTTCTAATTTTTAGTGGATGTATTCAGGAGCATAGAAATAGTTACCCTCCGCAATAGCCGTTTGTTCTAACAAAAAAGTTTTCGGTCAATTTTTACTTAAGGAAACATTCCCCGTAAATCACGTAGTTTCCAATCTAGTTGTTTCTTTAATTTCGTTATGCTTGAGCAGAACTTATAATTATTTGGCACTAAACGAGCGGCTCTCTTTTCAAATCAAATACCTTCGATATTTGATTTGAAAAATGTGGGTACCACACCGGGCACGCAAAATCTATGATCGGCATGACATTTGTCGTGCATGACAATTCCTTAATGTTTTATGGGGCTTCCTTGAAATTCCGGTTGATGAAGTTTCAAACGCGATTGGCTTCGTTATTGCGTCATGTGTTTACCCCAGGAGAGATCGTTGCTAAAATAAACACGCACATATTTGACATCAGTGAATTCCTTCAATGCAACACCGTTCAACTCATATTTCGATAAGAATGGTTGCTTTTATTTCTCTGAATCTCACATAATTGCATTTATTATTATTTAGAAATATTTCCCTTGTGCCACACCATGTCATTATTTTATCCAGGTCTAACTGAAATAAAAAAAAAAAACTATTTTCGTTTTTCACTTGGCTGTGAATAGCACAATCATCTGCGAAAAAACGTATACAATATGCTTAGTGATGTGGTATATTATTGATATTATTTTAAACAAAATGGTTGCCCGAGTACGGACCCCTAGGAGGCGCCCAAGGTTACAGCAGCATGCGGATATGTTTGGCCATTAATAACTGCGCACTGTGTACGATTTGTTAAGTGATATGTTATCCATTCAAGCAGACGTTCGGAAAGGCACACGAGCGCCAATTTGTTGTAGACAGTGTTGTAGCAGTGTTGTAGACAAACGTGACGTACGGCAACACTTCGTCCCATGTCCTGTGCGCAACGTTAACGTACAGCTGCAACGGAAAAAGAGTAGCACAAGTGACCGACGACCGGAGCGGCAAAATCGCGACACGCGGCGCTATTGTTCCCGAGCGCGCCGATAGCGAGAGTGCCAGTCACGTTCCATGTCTCAACGGGGGGGGGGGGGGGGGGGGGGGGGGGGGGGTTGCCGGCAAAAAACAGCCCATCCTAAAGCCATCACTTTAACAGCTATCTTATCTCTCAATTTTCTGCCGGCCACCCCCGCGTTGAGACATGCAACGTGACTGGCACTCTCGCTATCGGCACGCTTGGGAACAAGAGCGCCGCGTGTCGCGATTTTGCCGCTCCGGTCATCGGTCACTTGTGCTACTCTTTTTCCGTTGGAGCTGTACATAGCGTTTATGTTGGCGATGGTCTTGTTGAGTCGTTCCGTCAGTCCTTTGCAATGCGAATGGTATGCCGGGGTTTGACTGTGTTCAGTGTAACTCAGACGAACTATCTCCTGGGTCAGCCACACCATGAACGTCGACGCTCAATCTGTAATTAATACTTAAGGAGCGCCATGTCAAAAGACAACCGATTCGACCAAGAACTTGGCGGCTTTTTCGGCGGTTCCAAATTGAAGGGCCTTTGTCTCGGCCACCGTGATCTCGGCGTGCCGGGTTAGATATTCAGTGGCTACGATTATCCAGCGGTTTCCAAACGTCGACGGTGTAGAAGGACCAAGTAAGTGCAACCTGTTGCAGCATCATCATTCCGGTGGAATCCGTCTATGTTACGTATCTATGCTACTTGTTGTTATCAAGTCATAACGCCCTTTTGCTGTGACGCCCCCAAATGCATGCTATATCTTTGGGGCTCGTGGGAATAAACTTTGTTATGCACTGGACACCGACTAGGGTGGTTGTTCTCAGCGCGGAGCGCAGACCGCCTACGCGACGGGCGAAAACAGTGGCGACGAGGTGAACGCAAGCAACGACGGGCACAAGCGGGCCACGGCAGCAATGGCAAATGCGACGACGACGACGGCGTTTCAAGTCCCCCACTTTGACGAAACTACAGATAAGTGGGATATATATTACATTCGAGTGGAAGGCTATTTTGAGGGCAATGAGATTACGGAGGACAATAGAAAACGCGCGTTGTTGGTGGCTGCGTTGGGCTCTCGAACGATTGATGTTTTAAAAGGATTGTGTGCACCGCCTAAGATAAACGAATTAGCGTACAAAGAAGTTGTAGACATTCTCAATCAACACTATGCTCCACGGCCGAATGAGATCGCGCAGAGCTACAAATTCTTCAACCGTCAGCAGCAAGAAGGCGAGTCCGTACAAGACTTCATTGTGGAACTGCAGAAAATATCTGATTACTGCAATTTCGGCGGCAGCGTAGACCGAATGCTAAGGGATCGTATTGTTTGTGGAGTGCGAAATCAGACGGTTCTGCGGCAGCTACTGTCAAAAGGAGATTTCACACGGCAAGAGGCCAAAGATTAGGCAACCGCGGCCGAATTAGCCACCAGAGAGGTAAAGAATATGGAAGGGAACGAGGTGAAGACCGAAGCCGAGTTAAACAGAATGGCGGGAAAATCGGTTAACCAGGAAAGAAGGTATGACCGGTCGATGAAAACGAATGCGAGCGTTGCGGGAACAAGTCACATTCACGGGAGACGTGCCGCAACAAGTTTGCGAAGTGCTTCAGATGCGGCCGACAAGGGCATTTTGCAAAGAAGTGCAGAGAAAAAAAAAGATTTTCTGTCGCCCCGTCGACGGCAGACAGCGGTAGCAGCCGTAGCGGAAAGTGAAGAAGAGGTGGACTTGTCTACGGTGTACGTGGTAGACTCCTGTAAAAAGACAAGACTCGAGCCTCCCGTCGAAAGACAGATCTGCTGGAATGGTGTGCCCCTTACTATGGAAGTGAACACTGGCTCCCCCGTTTGTGTAATTTCGCGTGAGGTGTACCATTAGCACAAGGAGCATTGGCCGGCGCTGTCCGAAAGCAACCTGCGACTCCGGTGCTACTTAAGGAAACTACCCGTTTTCGGAGAGCTACACATGCGAGCGGCCATTCAAGACGTCATCGCACCAGCGTCGCTGGTGGTTGTGGATGGCAAGGGACCAGTCCTTTGCGGTCGAGACGTGATCGCGAAGTTGAACTTGCTGGACCCCACAGTGTCAAGTGTCGTTCCAGGACCATCGGACGGCGCAGGAAAGCTACCCATCGCGTACCGAGACCTATTCGAGCCTGGACTCGGGACCATCAAGGGAGCACCAGTGCATCTGCACGTGAAGGAAGCGGCGGTGCCCAAGTTTATAAAGGCAAGGCCAGTTCCTTACGCTCTTCGCGAAAAAGTATCCGAGGAGATAGATCGGTTGCTAGAGTCGGCAGTGCTTTCACCTGTCAGTCATTCTGAGTGGGCAGCCCCGATTGTGCCGGTACAGAAGGGGGACAGTTTGGTGCGCTTGTGTGGAAATTTCAAGCTGACGGCAAACGTGGCATGAAACACCGAACAATATCCTCTACCGAATATAGCGGATATGTTTGCTTCGTTGCGCGGCGGATCAGTGTTCAGCACGTTAGAGCTCCGAGACGCCTACAACCAGGTGGAGCTAGACGAAGAATCTAGGAAACTAACGGTTATCAACATGCACAGAGGACTTTTTTGTTTTAATCGTCTTCCATTTGGGACTGCCTCGGCGCCGGCGATTTTTCAAAGGAAGATGGAAAGCATATTGGCAGGACTAGGTGGAGTACAGGTGTACTTAGACGATGTTCTCGTGGCAAAGCAACAAGGAACCGACAACTTAAGGCGTGTGCTGCAGCGGTTCCGGGACATGGGGGTCCGGCTTCGGCGGTCGAAATGTCAGTTCGGGAGACCAGACATCACTTACCTGGGCCATAGGATTGACAAAGAAGGCCTGCACCCGATGGAGAACTTGGAAGCCATCAGAGAGGCACCGAAACCCACAAATGTAACCGAGCTGCGCTCTTAACTGGGGCTGCTGACATATTACCATCGGTTCCTTCCCAACATATCTACCTTGTTAGCACCGTTATACGAGTTGCTCGGGAAAGATCAAAAGTGGCGCTGGGGGCCGCGGCAAGAAGAATCCGCCAAACCAGCAAAAGCGGTCTTGCTGACGTCCCCGGTCCTAACATTTTTCGACCCTAACATGCCTCTCAGATTAGAATGTGACGCGTCACCCACCAGAGTGGAGCCGTGCTGTCGCACAAAGTTCAAAGCATAAATAAGCCGATAGCGTTTCGATCCAGAACGCTCTCGCCAGCGCAGAAAAATTATTCACAACTGGAAAAGGAGGCCCTGGCTTTAGTATTTGGCGTCACCAAATTCCGGGACTATCCACTAGGCCGCAGATTTATCTTAGTCACAGATAATCAGCCATTGGTGGGCCTGCTACGAGAAGACCGGCGAATTCCACTGCTGGCATTCGGGAGGATTCAACGGTGGGCCTTGCTGCTGAGCGATTTCCTTTACAGTATTGAATTTCGGCCAGGGAAACAAAACGCGAACGCCGATGCATTGAGTCGCCTGCCAATGCCCCAGCAGGGACCACGCGGGGAAGAAGAACTTCCAGAATACGTGTTAACGATGAGCCAGGTAGACGAGACCTTTATTTCCACACAGCGGTTGAAAGACCTGACGAGAACAGACGTCACGTTGTTGCAGACAATGCGACATGTGCAGGACGGCTGGCCCGATAGGTTGCCAGAAAGTTGGTTATTCTTGCAGCCGTATTTTTACAGGAAGCTCGAGTTGTCTGTGTACCAAGGGCTACTCTACTGGGGCCGGCGCCTCGTGATCTCAACCAAGGCCCGCCAGGAGATGCTGATGCTGCTCCACGAACCACACCAGGGTGTCGCTGTCATGAAGAGGAAGGCTCGGTCATCGTTCTGGTGGCCCAGACTTGACGGTGAGGTGGAACTACTCAGTAGAAGCTGTCAAGACTGCATACAAGCCGCCCCAATGCCCCCCAAGTGCTCACCAGTGAAATGGCCAGAAACGAAAGAAAGATGGTCGAGACTGCATATCGATTTTGCGGGGCCCATTGACGACAAAATGCTGTTTATTGTTTATTGTTTATTGAAATAACCCCACAGCGCCCGTGAGGGCATTATAGCGGGGGAGGGGCAAATACAAAATGAGCATGACGCCAAAGAACACTTAAATTGCCTAAACAGTCAAAACTCAAAATGTGACTTACCAGGAGAAATCAACATGACAATAAAGACAAACGTAAACCCAAACCAGCGTAAAACTAGACACTGCACTCGTGAATATATATTTCTACAAAGCTGAAGTTTGTAGAAATAACAGGTTTTAAGAATCTGACAATGCCTGATAAAATTGATAGCTTACGCTTGTTGAGACGATCTCTTCAGGTAAATTGTTCCAGTTGAGTATTGTACAAGGAAAAAATGAGTATTTGTAAATGTCTGTTCTGCTGGGAAAAGGCCTAATTTTTCTGCTATGATCCAGGCGCCGAGAGATAAAGCGAGGTGGAAGTAAATAACGCATTTTGTCAATTCCACACTGATCGTAATATATGCTGTGAAGGAGTTTCAGGCGGAAGCATTTACGACGATTCAGTAGAGGCTGCCAGTTAAGATCGCGTTTCATGGCAGTTACACTTTGACCACGCGAGTATGCATTAAGGACAAATCTGGCGGCTCTGTTTTGTATCAGTTCTATACTATTTATCAGGTACTGCTGGTGGGGATCCCAAACTTCTGAAGCGTACTCTAGAATGGGCCGAATATTTGTGAGATACAGGGTGTTTTTGACCTCTTGAGGAGAATTTTTGAAATTACGTTTGATGAAGCCTAGCATCCGATTAGCTTTAGCAGTCATATACTCAATGTGAAAGCGCCATGACAAATCGTGGGAAAAGTAAACGCCTAAATATTTTACTTGTGGTGACATGTTGATGGGAATGTCGTTAATCTGGTACATGGTGGTGATAGGGTTACGCTTTCTAGTTACACGGACAAAGTGACATTTGTTAACGTTCAAATCCATTCCCCAAGCACTACACCAGTTTGCTATGCGGTCAAGGTCGGCCTGCAGAGTGATACAATCGTTGACCGAACTTACTGCTCGATAAATTATACAATCGTCAGCATACAGGCGTATACTAGAAAAAACGTCTACAACAATGTCATTGATAAATATTAAAAATAAAAGCGGCCCCAACACCGAACCCTGGGGTACACCAGAAGTGACGGAAATAAAATCAGATGACTTGCCATTAATTAACACTGCTTGAGTCCTGCCACTTAGGTAATCTGCTAACCACCCAAGAACTTTACCATCTATTTTTAAGGACTTCATTTTATGCAGAATAAATTTATGTGGCACGAGATCAAAAGCTTTCCGGAAATCAAGAAAAATAAAATCTGTTTGAAGGCCTTTATCGTATGCGTTTGCTAGGTCATGGTAAAATTCTACTAGCTGAGTAGTGCATGACAAGCCTGGGCGGAACCCGTGCTGGGATGGAGTGAAAAAATTATTTGACTGTAAATGTTGAGCGATACTTGTGTAGATCACATGTTCCATAAGTTTAGAAGACGTGCTTAGCAACGATATGGGCCTGTAATTTTCAACTTTGTTTTTGGGGCCGCTTCTATGCACAGGCACAACATGAGCTTTCTTCCAGTCAGAAGGCAAAATACTATCTGATATAGATCTGGTAAACAGGACGTGCAAGAACATAGCGAGTATACCTGCGCATTCCTTAAGAATCTTGTTAGGAATGCCATCAGGACCTGGAGACTTATCAGTTTTAAGTGACCCCAGAAGTTTAACCAGCCCGTCAGAGTGGAATTCAATTTCCGGCATGTCACGGAATTCATTTACTGCGTTTGGCAGAGCCAAGTGCACCGCAGTTATTGGGGGAGAAAAAACTGATTGGAAGTATCTACTAAAGCATGTAGCTTTTGCTTGGTCATCGTGTATGGTCTGTTCAAGTTCTTCAATTGGTGGTATGCCAACCTGGTCCTTCTTGTTGCTTTTTACCAATTTCCAGAATTCTTTAGGGCTCCTTTTAAGACGGTCACTTAAAGTGCTCTGAAAAACATTTTTAGCTAATTTAAGTTTTATTTTGTAGAGTTTACTTAGGTCGCGTAACCGATTAAGGGACGCGGCAATAGAAGTCCTGCGGAAAGTTAAGTATGCGCGCTTCTTTTTCCTCAAAATTTGCCGTAACTCTCCATTTATCCAAGGTTTGTTTTTTTGCTTTCTTGGAGAGAATAGCTTGTGTGGGATGTAAGTGTCGATTAAGGCAGTAAGCTTAGTTTTAAAAATGTTCCACAGGGTTTCAACGTCCATCTCATAGCTGTGCATTTCAAAAATGGCAAAAAACGCTACAAGTTCGTCAGCAAGGCTAGCGTAATTGCCCTGGTCGTAAAAATAAATCCTGCGTGGGGACTGCAGAGCCGATAGCGGACGTTTACACTGTATACTTGCTGTAACTATGTCGTGATCGCTAATGCCCGGAAGGTTTGTGACTGCAGAAACAACTGTTCTGGAATCGCAAAGAAGGAGGTCTAGTGTACTTGATCTATTGAAGTCCACTCTGGTTGGTTCAGTGACGTATTGAGACAACCCAAAGCTTGAGACAAAGTGAGAAAATGTCGTGTATAATATCGAAGAGCCGGTAGTTAACATTTGCTTATCGTGCCATGTTATGTCAGGCAGGTTAAAGTCACCCCCAAGTACAAGATAATCACTTGAGATGGAAGACAGCTCATCAGATAGGGATAACAGTGATTCATGGGTTGCGCTGGGGGGCCGGTAATATGATCCGATAGCTAGGGTTTCCCCGGAATTTAGATAAATCTTACACCAAACCGATTCACACGATGAACAAGGAACATTTATTTGCGAACTCTGAAGGTCGTTTGCTATCAGTAAAAAAACGCCACCACCATGTGTAGTTCTATCCTTTCGATAGGCAGAATAATTGGAAGGGAAAATTTCTTCGTCAGCTATCTCTTCGATTAACCAAGATTCCGTACCCATTACAATGCTAGGTTGCGTCGTAGCGACAAGTTCAGCAAAGTCATCAATTTTATTTTTTATGCTGCGACAGTTAATAAGTAGTGCCTCAAGGTTCGTCACAGGTGGTCGTGACACAACATGTTTCCGTGGTAGTAGCTATGATTCATTCCGTTGGGTGGGAACTGAGCTTGATAATTTCATTAGTTGGCGTGTCGACTCGTCCCAAGTATATACCTCGCTGTTGACTATTAATTTGTCGTAACGTAAAGATACTTTGTCTTCTGGCTTTCGAGTATGTTTTATGCTATTCCAGAGTTCTTTTCGTACTAGCTGGACCCTACGTGAGAAGTCTTCAGATATGAACACCTGCGACCCCTTCAGTTTACTTGCGTTACGAAGGATATCTAGCTTTTCGTTGAAATCGTACAGACGCAGAATTACGGGCCTCGGTTTACCTTCTGTCAAGCGCCCCAGTCTATGTATCCTCTCAACACTGGCAACGGTAACACCTAGCTTCTCTTCGAAAATACTCTGAAGCACCAGTTCTTTTAATTCCGTTGCACTTTCATCTTTAACCTCTTTTATTCCGTGAATAATTAAATTATTCCGCCTTCCTCTGTTTTCTAGGTCGTCTACTTTCTCAGTTAAAAATGTTACTTTGTCGGATAGGTGCTTTAGGTTTTGCTCACACCGCTCTACCTTTGGAGGAGCCTTTGATAATTCTTTGATAGTTGACTCTATTGCTGTTAGACGTTCGTTAGTGCCAGACATGTGTAGCTCGAGTTTTGTTTGCATTGACCTTATGTCAGCCGATAAACTTTGCTGATTGGTTAAGATTGCCGCAAGTTGTTCCTCCACAGTAGGCCCAGGGTTGAGCTCCACATCGCCACTTAGGATCAGTATCAGCATACACAGAGAATCAAAGGAACCAGTAAGACTCTCGCACACTGTTTTTGGGCAGGGCAGCACAGCAAGACACAGGTAATTGCTCTTGAGCGTGGATACCAGAAAAGGTTTACCAACCTGTATTAAAAATAGGAACGGGTTCATGGACGTCCGCATCGTTGCTGCGCTGCACTGCCCACTGACGATAACAAGCCTTGGGGGGCGGATCCAGGATGTAGTTGATGTCGATGATGGTGGAGCATCCCATTCCGCCCGAGGAACAAAGTCTGCCGTCGTAGACCAGGAATCGGTGACGGGCTCGAAATGGTTGAAGCTTGAGTTGGTGACCAAAGATGTTCTCGCTGAACAGGTAATGCTGGTAGACGCTGGCTCAGGCCGAGGGCAGCGTTGCGACACCGGGTCGACACTCCAGGCAAGCACCTGTATTAAAAATAGGAACGGGTTCATGGACGTCCGCATCGTTGCTGCGCTGCACTGCCCACTGACGATAACAAGCCTTGGGGGGCGGATCCAGGATGTAGTTGATGTCGATGATGGTGGAGCATCCCATTCCGCCCGAGGAACAAAGTCTGCCGTCGTAGACCAGGAATCGGTGACGGGCTCGAAATGGTTGAAGCTTGAGTTGGTGACCAAGGATGTTCTCGCTGAACAGGTAATGCTGGTAGACGCTGGCTCAGGCCGAGGGCAGCGTTGCGACACCGGGTCGACACTCCAGGCAAGCACCTGTATTAAAAATAGGAACGGGTTCATGGACGTCCGCATCGTTGCTGCGCTGCACTGCCCTGTGATTGACTCCCACTGTGATTGACTCCCACTCGAAGTGGATGGAAGTTTCTATTATGCGAACCACCACGGCCGAAGCCACAGTAAACCAACTTCGAGAAATATTTAGCAGATGTGGACTTCCAAAGACCATAGTTACAGACAATGGACCCCAGTTTATAAGCCAACACTTCGAAAAATTCATGAACAGTAACAATGTATGCCACCTCCGCTGTGCACCATACCACCCCCAATCTAACGGGTTGGTGGAACGTGCCGTTATAACGATTTATGGACGGCCTCGCAAGGATGAAAAATGGAGACTTAGGAAAGAGGCTGGCACAATTCCTCATCAACTATCGAAGGACGCCCCTTCCAGGGGGTGCATCCCCGGGGGAACTACTACTGGGGTACCGAATTCGGTCACGTTTGGATATGTGTGTACCACCACGTCCCGTGTTCCATGACACTGTGCAGGAAGGAGAAGCCGGGGACCTCGGAGCAGAAGTATGGGTCCGGAACTTCGGTAAAGGCGACAGATGGTCACCCAGCACGGTCAAGTCCAACCTGGGCTCAAGAATGCTAGTCATCGAGACTCCAGGAACGGTTTGTCGACATCGGGACCAGGTTCGCTCCAGACATGGCCCGGTGGACACCCAGGAAGGCCGCCAGGACGATTCGATGAACCTTCCAACTCAGAGCCCGGGGCGACCACAAGTGGACCAGAAACCGGCAAAGCAGCCAGAGGCTCCAGACGCCGGCGTTCAAGAACCGCCGCCATTACGGCGGTCTACGCGGACCCGGAACCCTATCCAACGGTTGCAATATTAAGAGAAGAAGAAATGTTACAGCGTCATCATTCCGGTGGAATCCGTCTACTAGTATGTTACTTATCTATGTTACTTGTTGCTATCAAGTGATAACACCCTTTTGTTGTGACGCCCCCAAGTGCGGGCTATATCTTTGGGGCTCGTGGAAATAAACTTTGTTATGCACTGGACACCGACTAGAGTGGTTGTTCTCAGCGCGGAGCGGCAGACCGCCTACGCGACGGACAAAAACTTAACACAACCCACTTACAACGATACCACATATAAAGATGTACTGCTTATAACGATCAGTTTCTGGAGTTTCTAGACTGAAAATGATCAGTGTCTAGTCTAGATACAACAAAAATCGGTTATAACGATCGAAATTCCGTGTTTTTTTCATTATCGGTAACGCTGGAACGGTGCGGTCCGGCGTGCAATCGGCTGCAGGAGACCTGCCGGTTTCGTCGGAGGTTTCTTGCGTCGCTCGCACTCGTAGCACGAGCGTTTGTAGAGGTGAACGGTCTTCGGGAACGTGGGCCAATAATACCTCTCGCGAATTCGGGCCAGCGTACGGCTGTAGTCAAAGTGTCCGGACGCCGGGTCGCCGTGGCACGCTTGGAAAACCTCTCTAAGATCAGTAGGAATTACCAGCTGCCATGGCGAGTTGTTGTTTCCGAAGTTCTTGTAAAGTACACCTTGTTGAATAGCGAAGGTCAGCAGGGCTCCCGAGAAGCCATGGGGGATAATACCAATACCACACGGAACACAAGGCTTTCGCGTTTCCTCCTCTAAACATCATCACTAGTAGATTCCCTCAGCGCCCCCCAGGTAGCCCGGATGAGCACCGTCGTCTGTTACATCGTCTGCTCCATCACATGCTCCAGTGGTCGTGCTCAGAACGAGCTAGTCCGGCAATCTTGATGGTGTCGCATGCACGTTGCAGATGAACTGTGGCAGCTCGTTATCAGCTCGCGCTAAGCAGTCGCGCACGCAGCTGTGGCCGCCAGGAAATGCGGCGTAGTACCTCCGAAAACTCGTGGGAGCGGCGGCCAACGCCTCCAGGGGACTCGGAGTCTACGGAAGCAGACTTTTTGCGAGTCCCGTTTTGTCACCCCAACAGCTGAAAGAATTCACTACGGTCAGTCCGCTTGCGAAGCGGAATCTACTGATCGCAACAGCAACAGCAATCAAATAACAACGCGCGCATAAACAAAGATAGAGCAGTCTATTTAGCAGTCGCAAACGCCACTCAGAGGACCACACGAGTTTGGAGCGCATCTCGGAAGCAAAAAAAGGCGTTTAGCTGGGGGAACTACGTCACAACACATTACGTTAATCCGTTACAGACTACGTTGTCACAGTTTCTTACCTAAATAGGTTATAATTACAACGATTTGGTTCAGGTAAAAGTTTGCTTATTATTCCGGGTGCCAAAGCCCGTCTCTCGCTGCCTTGTTAGTCTTCCCCCGTAGAACGTCGGAACCCGTCCGTGATCGACCGAAATGGCAGCTTTTGTACCCGCTAAGACAGTCGCATGAACTACGGAAAGCTTTCGACACCGTGCATGACCACTACGAAAGCCGATAGAGACGTCGTGAGCCTGATTGCATAGCCAACGCACTACCGCGGAGCTGGCAAAGTAACTGTGCTAGCTCGACCTGTAGCGTTTACTACACTGTTAGCAAAAATAACACACTCAAACGTGTAAACCGTTGTCCCATAGCGGACACGTGAAAGCGTGTTCGTTTTACACGCAGCTATGTGTGTTAACCGTCTACACATGAAGTGCCGTGTAAACTTAACACGATACACCGTGTCTGCCTTCCGGAAAACACGGTTGAGTGTGTTCCTTACAAAAAATGGCGGCAGCAGCCGAGAACAGGCGAGAAACGAGCCCAGCGAGCCGCGCGCCTTTCAGCTGAACTGAGAGCACACAGGACGCGTCTGTTCTCGTTCGATGCTTTTATTCACAGTAAACAGTTTCCCAGCGTGGAAAGGTAAACGTGCAAATGTATACGTACGTACGTGCGTCGTCGGCGGTCGGCGGCGTCGGTACCGACGACAGAACCGCTAGACAGAAAAACAAATGCCGAACTTACATGAATAAATAACTCGAGGATACTATTTGAGATCCGGCGGTAACTTGCGCAACCAAGCGAAATTCCTAGCAGCCTATAAAAAAAATAAAGTCTGCTAATAAGATGCGAACAATCACGAGTAGACAACATGCCACATACATCACAGAAAACACAGTATCATGTATTACACAGCACCGACATATACACAAAACACAGCAACGACACAGCACCCGGCACTTCCTACTCAACAAGCTTTTCTCCCCGCGGCATATATGAGCTTGACAAGTGGGGTTAAGCTCTTTGGTCGCTGACAATTAAAGATTTAAAGAAGAAGACACAAAACACGGCGCAATGAACAGCCGTATGTAAGAACTGTTAGCGCGCTTCAAAAGTATGGAGGCAAAATCTGTAATACTAGTCCGTTGCGAAAAATAACGATCTATTAACGATAAATCTTAAACCTGTCATGAAAACGTTTACATTTTTGTTATTTTCACGCTCGACCAGTGCTATGAGCAGTCCGACAAGCTTGAATCAGATAGAAAAACAAATTGTTGGAATTTTATCATTATGTATTTAATAATAAATGAAAATGATCCACGCGCAAAGCATTGTTTTATATATTCGTGGGAAGGGCATCCGCCCAACACTTCACTTTTGCTAGTTGCAGTACGGGAGCAGACGCCTTCCCTTCTGGGGCGTTTTGATGCGGTTTGTTGTCGTATGCCGTGTCGGTGTCGAGTGGAGCGGTGGGGCTTGGAAGTTTGTGACCGGTGTTATTCATGATGACTCGCGTGGGGCGCTAATGCGTCTTCTTTTTTATACCGCCACCACCCCAAACTTTGAAGATTCACGGGCCTGTAGCACTGCATTATGCTGAATCGCGAGCTCCTTTTCTGTTGACGTCATTTTCCTGGCACCACTCGTGAATACTGCAAGCGTTTAAACAGTGCTCAACAAAATGAGCGATGGTTCGACCGTCAAGTAAACAAAACAAAAACACACAAAAAACACATAAAAGCAGGAGGAAGAAAGAACGCGAGGTCGTAGCTCCTCAAAAATAAAAATAAAGTAGACTGAAAACTGTAAAGAGTTGTTGACGGCGGTCCAAAGGGTGCCGACTTTTATCGTAGAAGGCGACGAAGACGTTCGTCGTTAGTCGTCCGGGCGCTAACAATCGGAATTTGTGTTTCGTATATAGCGCGACCGAAATCATTTTTTTTTTGCACTACGACGTTCTCCTCGTTTTTTTTTTCTTTTGGACGCGCAAGAAGTTTGCTTTTCTTGTAACTCCGCTTTTATTAATATCAGTAATAGCGTCAGATTTGCATTTGCACAATCCACTTCTTCCAGAGTATACTGACATCGCAATACGTACGTGGTTCGAAATTGCCTTTTGCTTCTTCATCCTATGCGGAGGGCAAGTTCGTCTGCTCCTTGCGCAGGGGGTAGCGGTGACGTCAGAACGCTGAGCCCTGATTGGCTGATCGAGCCCCCCTATCTGAGCGTCGTCTGCTTCTTTGCAACGTCGTCTGCTCGCAACGTCGTCTGCGTCTGTCTTACCTTTCCTGCGACTTTCGGAAGTGCAGAGGCCAGATTCACGAAACGATCTTACGCCAAAAATGTGCGTAAGACAAAACTGAAGAACAAATTCGTATGCACGAAACGAAATTTTCGTAAGTTTTGCGCAGGTTACGGCGAAATCCTACGACAGCTCCGAAGCTGTCTTACGCACTTCTTACGATCAAGTCAGCATGGCCGACAGCGTCGCGGTCGCGACGACCCACGGACGTTTATTTTTCTACGTGAGCTTCTCACGCGTCCTGACTTCAAGCAGCAAAAAAAAAAGTAAGAATTACTTGAAACCGAGCACGACGAACAAGAACGCTGGATCCACAGACACCGGGGAAAAGCTCCAACGGCGACGATTCCACCGAACGCGACCAAACGAGCTGGGCAGTTAGGCCTAGCAGGCACTCCGCGACTCGGCGACCGTCTGCCCACGACCGGCTGACGTGCTGAATGGAATATGCCCGCGCGACCCTTGTGAACCCTTCCCGTGTTATACTTTGATCGCTGACCTCAATTTTAGATTAAGAGGTCAATTTCTTCCTCTTGTTATCTCCTTGTTTCCCGAGGCAACGGTG